ACAAGCTTTAGTAATCACCCACCTATGCTTGGTCACACGTGACCTCTTTTTATCTTTATCAATTATCTTAATGAACTACATATATAATGACATGTAATTGCCCTTCAAATGGATCATGTCCTTATAAATGAATAGTATCCATAACAACTAGTTGTCAATCATTAATACCAAATCGTAATTTGTTATTTATGGGTGACCACAGAGGAGAGTAAGTAACACTTTTTCACCCTTACTATTAGTCACTGAACAGTTTTCTATAATAATAGAAATAAGAATCTAGAAATAACAATATATATAATCTATTCACTAATTAAAATGTATATGCTTTTTGACAGTTTTTTGTGGGGAGAGCTATAACATAAATGAAGGCGAGGAACAAATAATCACTAGTCCTAATTATCCATATAATTATGAAGATTATCTCGTCTGCGACTGGACCATCACAACCAATCCTGGAAATAGCCTCGTTGTGAATGTTGTAGATTTTCATACGCAAGAATTATTTGATGTGTTAGAAATCGATGATGGGTCTAATAATATTGGAGAATGGTCTGGTGACTCTGGACCGCCAAACTTTACATCACTTAGCAACGAAGTATCTATAATATTCAAGACTGATTCTATGGTAAATGAAAAGGGATTTAAGATAATTATTACAGGTAAGCTAAGTAAAAAAGAAAATGATTTGTATATTCTTCATATAAAAAGGTCAAATTTATATGTTCGTGTAATCTTAATTACAATCTGATGGTATTCTTGATTTGCATGTGCTTCATTTAGGATATGAAGTTTTTTGGATCTGGTGGCAATAAGATAAACCACCGAGTGAAATATGTGAATAATTAATGATATTCTATATCGTTAAACAAACAATGGACAAAGGCATGTATATGTAGCGTAATGTGCATTCTGTGCCACTATTATTGTATTTATAATATGCACTGTCGTTTTTAGGTCGTCGGGCATATTTTACACAGCAGTTCTCGAGTTGCATAGCCCCTTCGCACTTATTGTATTTTTCCGGCACATCGCTTGTAATTGATTATGTAATGGCTCTATTCTGACAACTGTTCAGCAGTAAGAGTACTATCACAAAACTCTAATTTTCCAAACCCTATCAAACTAACATTTCTTGGGATATTCGCTCTTATGTATTAACAGAGAATTTAATATTTCAAGTTAGTCAAGTTCACAACAAGTGGTCTCTAACAACTTGTACGTTAATGTTAAATTCGAATAGTAGGCTAAACCAAAGTATACAAAATTTTGATTTGTGATTTTAAATAACAACATACTAGCTTGTTTTCACATACCTGCGATTTGTGAAGATGTTTGTTAGAAGACAGACTATGACATATGCGGGCATACAATGATTTTTGAAGATTAACTAGGAAAACTGTATTTCGGTATTGACAACAACATTTTGTATTGACTGATATATTACAGGTAAAGGTGAACCATGAAATTACCAAATTGTGAATACGATGTTTATATTCATTTACCATTTTATATATTATTTACTATATAGTGTCAGGCGGAAGTGGTTCAGGAGACCCTCACATGATAACATTTGACGGTCGTCGATACAGTTTCCAAGGTCAATGCTGGTATACATTCTTCAAAGACTGCAGTGCACACCCCGATTTTGAAGTTATTACTAAGTTTGCACCAAGAGATGATATTAAGGACAAAACAAGAACGGTTTCTTTCAAAGTACTGTCGGAGACCAATATGCACTCGTTAATGGTCATGATGTTGTTAAAGTAAGTTATATCATATAATTAATCATTCAATGAGTCTGCTAAATCGAACTATTTAAATTTAATAGTGCTCAGAATAATATATTGTTATATATTTCAGGGAAGCAAAAGTAATGGACACGTGTACTCCTCTGTCATACATGTGGTGAAAAATAATGACGTGATAACACTGACGTTCACCTCCAAGGTTACAACATTCACTCTTGAATGGACACCAAGAAAGCATCTGCTGAAAGCATGATTCTCTGGCACTGATTACAATGGCAAGCTCTGTGGTTTGCTGGGTAACGCTGATGGTGATACACGTAATGATCTCCAGACGCCCAAAGGTATTGAAGTAAAGGACGTTACTGCATTTGGCGAAAGCTGGAAGTTGAACGGAGAAGTGTAAGTTTGCTATTTCTTGTTTTAAAAGTAGTTGTACCGTCATTTATTTAGATCACTGAATCTCAAGGACATTATTATTAGTAGTAGTATTATGATTATTATTATTATTAGAACGAACACAAAACAAACGTCTCTTGTGATCAAACTCGTTTTTAGGATCAGGAGTATTTTTTTGACACAAATAATAAAATAACTAAACAAATTCTACTTATTGACTACATAAACATTAATACGGGTGGTATATTACCCAGTTGATGACGGCCAGGAAAATACAAACATTTTGTTTTCATAATGGTATAATAATATCATGATAGCATATAGCTCACTTGTATTCAAATGTTTACGTAGGCCTTTGATAGAGAAGCAATGAGACAATGAGACATATGTCGTCTGCATAAATTAAATTATTAACAATTTTGGTGTCAAACTGACAACCACATGAAAACATGTTTGAGGGAATATCCCAATGCACAAGTTCATTGAACAACGTTTCAAAGATTTACTCTATCGAAAGCCTTGGAAGCATCGAGGA